GAACCTCGTTACAAAGCTGTAAGGGAATCCCCTCAGGGATTTTAATGGGAGAGGCACAGAGAGGAAGGAATAGATCTTGGTGCATATACTTGTGCCTACCTTGACCTTCTCCAAGGGCAGAGCAGTAATCCTTGAGGCCTGGCTATGGCATGATTCAGGATACCTTGGTGAGCACTTGGGAGCTGTCTCCTCACTGCTTCAGAGTTCCAGGGCATGGGGTCTGTAGTCAGACTTCCTGGGTTCAAATCCTGGTTCTTTGTCTTACTATTACTAGCTTTAGTTACTCCACCTCTCCGATCCTCAACTGCCTCATCTGTAAAATAAAGATAACACTCTGTACCGTCTAGGGTGATTCAGAATCAGGTAAATGTTTCAAGTGTTTGACACATTATTAAAAATAAGTCAAAATTTTAAACCTAATTTTGTGATCATTTATTTTTTAAATCTTGGCAGTTAACAATTACCTGAACTTTGAAATTTTTTAAAGAAGCAATACACGTAGTGGTTTATTATATTATTTATTTATTTATTCATTCATTCACTCATTTATTGTGGCTGCGCGGGGTCTTCGTTGCGGCGCGCCAGCTCAGAAGTTGCGGCATGTGGGATCTTAGTTCCCCGACCAGGGATTGAACCCGGGCCCCCTGCGTTGGGAGCACAGAGTCTTAACCTCTGGACCGCCAGGGAGGTCCCTGTAGTGGTTTATTTTAGATTGCAGATTTTAAACTATTCTTGCGAAATGAATGTGAATTTTTGGACGGGTATATTTTGAATCTGTCAGTGTTCCACATCCAGGCAGGACTTCGACAATGAGCTGTTTTCAGAAATCACAGTTCTCTACCTTGGGCCTGAATGTTACAGGGGCTCCAGCACCAAGTGGCTCACATGGCCACCCAGCTAGAAGCTGCAAGATTACTCACATACAACGCTGCAAGGCTTTTAGAAGCTGGAAGGCCATTCATTAAAGAATCATCTATGGCCAAGTACTATGCATCAGAGGTAAAAGAAAAAAAAATCAGTCTTTTTATTTTTTAAAGATATTTATTTATTAACCTCTTCATTTAGAAATATTGGTTATGCATTTGTTTTTCAAGTAAAATAACATGAACTTTCTAGTTTCTACACCAGAAATGCAAAAACGTAAAGCTGCCATAGGGAGGTGCTTTGATTCTGTGAGGTCTCCATGTTTTCATAGGCTCTTAGATGGAAACCGAGGCACCCAGTTCAGGTAGAAGGCCCACCGTAAATCCCTGGATGAACCTCAGCTGAACGATGGTTGGGACGAAGTGAATGCCCTGGAGATAATGTGAAACAAGAATGCCCAAGAAGGGACTGTCCATGTGTTGATGCTTCCCGCTCATGCATATGCATTCTATATATAACACACTGGACTTTGGTGGAGACTTAGCCTCATCACTGGGCTGCTCTCTCCCAGCTTCGGCAGTACGTCTTAGTCATTCCCTGGCTTCAAATATTTATTTAACATCTTCAGCCCCCAGATTTAATCTTCTGCCTCAGCCTCCCTTCTGAGTTCCAGACTAATAGATCCCGCTTCTGCTTTACCTACCCACCTCCCCCCGACCCCAGTCGCAAACCTGAGTCTGCTTGACACCCTCCTTTCCCTCATCCCCCAGTTGAATCCATCCTCAGTTTTGAGGATTCAACCCCCTAAATATTTCTTTCTTTTTTTTTTTTTTTTTGCGGTACACGGGCCTCTCACTGTTGTGGCCTCTCCTGTTGTGGAGCCGGACGTGCAGGCTCAGCGGCATGGCTCACGGGCCCAGCTGCTCCGTGGCACGTGGGATATTCCCGGACCAGGGCACGAACCCATGTCCCCTGCATCGGCAGGCAGACTGTCAACCACTGCGCCACCAGGGAAGCCCCCTAAATATTTCTTGAATTTGTTTTTCTCTCCCTTCGTACTGCCACCTGTCTAGTCCAAGCTGTGCCGTTTCTTTATCAAACCACTGGACTCACCTTCTAGCCTCTTGTTTTCCCCTGTTGCTTTCTCCCATCCAGTGTCCCTTTTCAAGGTGTCCATGAGGCCATGCCACGCTCCAGCTTTAAACCCTTCAGTGGCTCCTCACAACAAATGGGGCCTTTCTATTTGTTCCTATTGCTACTTTTAACAAATACCAAAAATGTAGTGGCCTAAGACAGTACAGTTCTATTATGTCACAGCTCTGGAGGTGAGACGTCTGAAATGAGTCTCACTGGGATAAAATTAACGTGTCAGCAGAGCTGCCTTTCTGGAGGCTCTAGGGGAGAATCCATTTTCTTTTCTTTTCCAGCTTCTAGAGCCAACTCTGTTTCTTGGACTCACAGCCCCTCCCTCCATCTTCAGAGCCAACAGTGTAGGGTGTTCAGATCTGACTGCTTTCTGTGTCCGTGGTTACATCGTCTTCTCTGCCTCCCTCTTTCCTTTATAAGGACCCTTGGGATTACATGAGACCGGCCCAGATAGTCTGGGATCATCACCCCATCTCAAGGTTCTTAACTTAATCACACCTGCAAGTCTCTATGCCATGTAGGTGATGAACATTTACACTTTCTGGGGATTCTCCTGTGGACATCTTTGGGGGCCAGTACGTTATTCAAACTGCTCACCATCGTGTGCGGCCCGCCTGCACCCCATTCCCTTTTTACAGGTCACCCCGATCCCAGCCCATTGGTCCTCAGGCCCTTGAGGCTGACGAACCCATTTTCCCCTTGGAGCCTTTCCACGTGTCATTCCTCAGCTTGAAATGTCCCCTAACTCATCCTTTAGTTCTCAGCGAGGCTGTAATTTCCTCACCTATCCTCCATCTAAGTCACAGCAGCTTCCCTAGCAGGCTCTTCTCTTGCCCCATACAGTTTTTCAGTTTCGGTGATTGCTATTCAATCTCTGTCTCTCTGAATGACCAGCAGGACCAAAAGGGCAGTGACTGACTGGCCACCCCTCACCATTGTGGCTGGCAGAGTGGGTGACATAAGAAGGCCCTTGATTAACATTTGCTGAGTAAATGATACCTGTCGACAAGTATGAGTCTAAACAAATACCCTAATTTTCTTAAGAAAATAAGAGTTTTGTGAACTAATAGGGTATTTTACATAAATGGTATGTATAGAGAATGGGACTAAGGAGAAATGCTAATTTATAAAATGACTTCAATCCTTCCAACTGCCAATAACAGTGAATCCACGTTACTAAGAATATTCTACAAGAGTGTTTGTAATGCATAAGTTATGTGGCTTCAACATGTGATTTGCTGCTGCTTTTTGGTAGATTGCGGGCCTAATAACTGGCAAATGTATCGACTGGATGGGAGGAGTAGGCTACACCAAAAATTACCCCGTGGAAAAATACTTCCGAGATGCGAAGATTGGTAAACAGAGTTTTTACATTTATTTTGTTTTGACTCTGTAGGCTGTTGTATCTGTTTGATTTTTTTAACTACTGGTACGTAGGCAAAGGCAATTTTAATCTCTTCAGTTATTATGTTTATTGGCTCTCCTTTTCTTGTGGCTGGGTTGTTTTCCCCTACTTCCTCCTTCAAAAAAATAGATTTTTATATATATATTTTAAAACATCAAATTTCCTTTTTAAATGCCCCAAGGCCTCTGAAGGCCTTGCAGTGAAACCACAACAAAATCTACTGTCTTAATTTTTCTTTTACTAAAAATGTTAATATTTTCTATTAGTTTAATGCTGTTGCTTGAAGCTCAGTTCTAGTTTTAGACACTAAGTGCCTGCCCAAGCCTGAGCATTCCGCTGCTCCACTGCCAGGTAGGAAAATAGAAACAGCAGTTATGAAAGCTGCCTGTTCCTGAGGAACCATCCAGGCTCGTGTGTTGATAGTTTAGGAACAAAAAACTTCCAGCTGTTTAATACTGATTCTGGAAATCTGTAAACCAAATAGAAAATTGTTATCTCTTAGGCAGAATTACCTTGTCAAATAGTACCATATTCAGGGGACATTGTACAGTATTCCTGGTAAAGTTTTACAGTAAATGCAGAGGTAATGTTTGCAGAGCTGTTTCTTGTATAGACTCTTAACCACATCTCCACTCCTAATTGTTCCTTTTTTCCCCTTTGTTTAAGGTACGATATATGAAGGAACTTCAAATATGCAGCTGAACACCATTGCAAAGCGCATAGATTCAGAATACTGACAGACACGGGAGTAGGACCCCTCCCTGGTGTCACTGGTGTAAAATTTTAAACTATTGTGCCTTGTTGGGGGCTGCATTGAACGATTTTATTTAGGCCCTTCACCTTGGATCTGGAAGGAGACCTTTCCTGTCTCCTCTTTCCAATCTGCTTAACTTAGGTGCAGAAAATCATTTTTAAATTTTGGGAAGAAATACATCCATATTTTCTCCAAAACTATTTTTAAAACTCTATGTGCATTATCATTTTAGCTTCAGGGTATATAGAATTTCACTGTATTGGAATTTGGAAAAATAAAGACAATATAAGTATTTCTTGCAGACATGGGTATTTTATATCCCTGTCATTGTGCATCAGTCAGAGAGACGTTTGTGATAGTTGGCAATTCTATAGAAGAAATAAATTCGATTCTAAGTTGCTAAACTAGGTAGCAACTGATAAAAATTTATTTAGAAAAATCTAAAAGTTTTAGTTCTGAATATCTGAAAATGAGTGGAAAATGGAGGGTATAACTCTGTAGTTTATATAATCAAAGAAAGCATTTCAACAAAGGAAAGCAATATAATTTGCTACTATAATTGGCCAGTATGAAAGGTGCATTTCATTATGGTTTCAGTAGATCTTTTTTTTTTTTTTTTTGCGGTATGTGGGCCTCTCACTGTTGTGTGGCCTCTCCTGTTGCGGAGCACAGGCTCCGGACACGCAGGCTCAGCGGCCATGGCTCACAGGCCCAGCCGCTCCGCGGCATGTGGGATCTTCCCGGACCGGGGCGCGAACCCGTGTCCCCTGCATCGGCAGACGGACTCTCAACCACTGCGCCACCAGGGAAGCCCCAGTAGATCATTTTAAAAACAAGTCTCTACATTAGTTTTCAAGTATGAAATTTAAATAATTTTGTTTAATAATTAGAATATACTCAATATTGTAATATCTATTTTTTTCTGTCTTTAAATTGAATACTGTTTTCTCAAACTTAGTTATTGAGCTTTATCATGAATAGTAATTCAGAAATTATATTTTGGTTCAGTGATTCTCAAGAGGAGATGTCTTGTCCCCATAAAGAAGTGTATTAAAATCTTGTAAGGAATGAGGGATAGAAGGGAGCTGTGGAGTTCCAAAAGCATATTTGGTAATAGAAAAAATGACATTTCTGGGAAGGCAAAAATAAATCTGTTGTTTTACAGTCAAATTATGGAAAGGCAAAGCTCAACATAATAGACGGCTGGCGATGCCATTTCTTCAGTATCAGGGATTCTCAATCAGAGAGACCTTGTAGGGTACAGGTCCTCAGTCCCCTCAGGAGGGAGGAGGACAGTGAAAGGTGAGTGTTTTATATTTTCTGGAAGGGGGCATGGGGTAGAGGTGTTGGAAAATGTTTCAAGGCTCATACAGTTGCTTAAAGTAATCACTGCTGTCAAAAGGGAAGCACTTCAGTGCTCTAACGAAAGGCTAATGCTTATTAAGAAAACTTGGCATCTTCAAAGTAACTTTGCTTTGCGCGTTCATGTTCATGGAACTGGGTTCACTTCTATAATGGACACCGTAGTTAAATACTCAGAATCGCGTGAATGCGGCGGAGACAGGAAGTGCGCCAAAATATTAGGGAGAGACACGGGCGAATTCAGGCCTTAGGTCAAAAGAGAGAAAGTCCACTTGATTCTCAGATAGGGCCGATGGAAGCCAGGCCTTCAGCGTTTTAGAACAAAAAGCCAGTAATCTGATAAGGAAAGTAGGGGTTGGAGGAAACGCCCCAAAGGGGGGCTTGGACATCTTTAATTTCTGTGATTATGCCAGAGAGGTGGGCTTTTCAGGTAACGGAATAGAAGCCAACGGTTAGTAAAAAGAATCCCAGCTTCCTCCTGTAGAGTTACAAACACGTGAAACTACAATAAGCCTCTTTCAGGTTAGTAGCATGAGAGAGGCTCCCGTGTACATCTAGACCTTGAATTTATAGTTCATACTGATACAGTTCTAATTGTGTGTATATTTTTTGTACAGGTTCACAAATAACAGTTGAAAATTAATTATGTACTGTAATTAATATCTGTACCTGCCTTCTATTACTGAATTGTGTTATTGTACCGTTTACCAAAGAGGATGTTGTGGGTTGTCCCCATAGTTCTTCCATTATAGCTTCTCTTAATAACCATGACTTTGGGGGTCTTGAGTTTGTGTCTAGTGGAGGACGAGCTTGTTTACCTCCTGAAACCTGTCATTACTGTTCGTTAATTTGAGGATAGGGCTGTCACGGGGCTCAGAAGGAAGAGACTTGAACACAAGCAACAAGTCGTATTTGTGTGGCAGAGCTGGACTCAACCCAACTGCCAAGGTAGTATTGTTAGACGTTTCACTTTACAACACAAAAATGAATTGGTGTCAGAGATTTTAGAATTATGGAAAGCTAAATCTAGAAAGAGTTTAGAGAACCATCCAGCCAACTCTCTCATTTAAGAGTGAAGGATTCATGTAACCCAGAATACTTGCCCAAGGTCATCCATCCATCCAAGGCCAAAGATAAGACAAGGATCCAAATGTACTAGGTCCCAATTCAGTGCTCTTCCTACTGTTTACTGCTGTCTCTGTTCAACAAATTTTGGATTTCATCCTTGTTATGTTTCAATACTCTATTGATTTATTTTAGGTTTAACTGATAAAGAATTAACATTTCAGAAGTGTTAAGATTGATCAGTGTCGTTACTTACATATATCAATCACCTGCCAATCACATATATCAATCACACACTGGCTCTCCTAGGATGTAGCTGGTATGTCAAATGTAAAGATTATTGTGTGTGATCACTTGGTTTTATGATTATGCTGTGTTTTAGTAAATGCACTAGTTATATCCTTGCTGATGTATTTTTGCTGATCTTTCATAAAGTGAAACTTTTGTTGTAATGGTACGTATCAGACTGTAATCAGTGTTACAAAACCAGTATTCTATGGAGAATGAAAAAATAAAGCACTAACTGGAGACTTTTGCTACTCTAATAAAGCAAAATTGTTTGTTATACATACAGAAGAAGTAAGAAAATAATGTAACCTTCCTGCAAGATAGACACAACACCTCTGTTTACCAAGCTGATAGCTTGACTCTCATGTAAACCAATTTTGTTTGTTTTCAGGGAAGAGGTCTTATAATTTAACTTTAAATTCTTGATGCTAAATAAAATTTTACCAGAGGGACTCCCTTTTTTAAAAAACAAAATAAGCAGCTCTTCGATAGAGAGGTCACCTCTTCTGAGCACATCTTCACAGTATAGCTCTTATCTAGATGATATTTATGCCCATGTTTATAGTAGTACTTCTGGAAATTTTATATCGTTGAACCTTTTACTCAGTAATACACTATTGTCTAACCTTATAGGAGATTTCAGCCTATCTGTTCCCCATTATTTCCTACATTATTTTAGAAATCTAGGTGTTAGTCCCTGTTTTCATTTGTCATTCAATGACCTGTTCCGAGCAGTCATTCAGTGACCTGCGCCGAGCAGGGGCCCAAGGTGCCATGGGCTCCAAGCTGCCATGCAAAGCTGAGTAAGACCAGATTCTTATCGAAATGTATTTATGTCAGGTGTCTTTCTTCTGTTCTCATTGGTGTATCTTCACACACAGAAAACCACCAAGGCCAACCTTATGCAAAAGTATTTCTTTAGATCTGTTAGAATGATAAAAATAGCGCTAAGCTCTCTTGAGCTCTTATCATGTGCCAGCCATTATTCTATGCTCTTGACACATAGTAACTCACAGCCCTATAGAGTAGGTGCTCTTGTTAGCCTATTGTAAAGGCAAGGAGACTGAGGCATGAAGAGGGAAATAAATTGCTTATTGATACATGACAGAAGTGATTCAAACTTGGGCAGTCTGGCTGATGAAGGCCCTCCCAGGTTCATTCCTTTGGGTCTTTAAGGTTTGTTAATTTTCAGGAGTCTTCTGGTAAAATGCCACTGCCAACTAGCCCTTTATTAGCTAATAATTCTTCAGGATTGTTTCAGATCTTTTAAAGCAGAGAAGCTAGCTGAGAACATGGCCTGTAAAAGAAATAAATAGATGTGGTGGGATCATCTGTGTTCTCAGAGAAAGAATGGGAGAGTAGGTGGATAGGGCAGTAGGAAGATGCAGTAGAGCAGGGGTCCCCAACCCCTGGGCCATGGACTGATACCGGTCCTTGGTCTGTTAGGAACAGGGCCGCACAGCAGGGGGGGAAAGGCAGGTGAGCGAGCAAAGCTTCATCTGTATTTATAGCCACTCCCCATTGCTCCCACTACCGCCTGAGCTCCACCTCCTGTCAGTATTATGGTGAGTTGTATAATTGTTTCATTATATATTACAATGTAATAATAGAAATAAAGTGCACAGTAAATGTAATGCACTCGAATCATCCTGAAACCATGCCCCTACCCCACGTCCGTGGAAAAACTGTCTTCCACAAAACCAGTCCCTGGTGCCAAAAAGGCTGGGGACCGCTGCAGTAGAGGGATGAGAAAAGTACTGAAAAGGGAATTACAGAAATACCCCCCCACCAAAAAAAAATCATCTCCATCACAGCCATCAAAAAGCCACCCTGAGGTAGGAAGGAAGACAAGCAGGATGCAGAGCTGAGTGGGTGTGGCTGTAGGATGTTTGACTTGCCATCACTTGTATGGATAGCTCACATTATACAGGGGAAAAAACCTAACTTTACAAAACTTTTTTTCCCAAAGAAATCATGGGAAGTGTAAAACAAAATAAGGCAGGAATATAGCCAAACATAGTAGGACTTATAGGTATAAATGGGTTAAACTCACCTGTTCGAAATAAAAGATGTAAAGATGACACAAAAGGAAAATTTAAATCCCAGCTACATAACATTAGAAACACCTAAAAAAAGCAGCACAGGAAAGCTGAGATAAAGAGAAGGAAAAAGACCATACAAATGCTACTAAAAGGAAAGCAGGAACAGCAATCAAAACTGAATTAGGGGCTTCCCTGGTGGCGCAGTGGTTAAGAATCCGCCTGCCAATGCAGGGAACACATTGCCACGGAGCAACTAAGCCTGTGTGCTGCAACTACTGAGCCTGCACTCTAGAGCCCATGAGCCACAACTACTGAAGCCCACATGCCTAGAGCCCGTGCTCCGCAACAAGAGAAGCCACTGCAATGAGAAGCCCTTGCACCACAATGAAGAGTAGCCCCCGCTCGCCGCAACTAGAGAAAGCCAGGACGCAGCAATGAAGACCCAACGCAGCCAAAAATAAATAATTTATTTTTTTAATAAAAAGCTGAATTAAAGGCAAAAATAATTTTAAAGGACAAAAAAAGGATATCTCAAAATAAAACAGGAAGACTTCACCAAGAAGTTCCAATAATCATGAAGTTTATGTCTCTAACAACATGGTTAGGAACTATATACAACAAAACAAAAAATAAAAATACAGTGAAAACATTGACAAAGCCATAATCACAGCCTCTGACTTAGAAATCAACAAGTCAAGTAGGAAATGGTAAGAACAGGTAGAGAGGGATTGGGTAGCATAATTAACAAGTTTGATATGTATATATATAGAGAGAGAGAGAGGAAACTTTCTTTTCAAATGCAAATGAATTGTCTAATCTAGAATTTTGCCACAAAGGAAACTTCTACAAACTCCAAAAAGACAGATTTACAGGCAACATTCACTGTACACAATGAGAAGTAAATAACCAAAATATAGGATGCAAAAAAACTCATCATAACTTTAAATAACCTTGGTTAATTAGAAAATAAAGATATAAATTACAAATTGTCAATAAAAGTATGGGAAACTGAGCTGTTTTAGTCAGTGCTTCTGGGAGGATGGACAAGAAGGCATGTCAGGGACCTTAAGGACAGCATAGTTTGTAGTAGTGAAAAATTAGAAATGGCTAGGTAGGAGAATATATAAATCATGGACATACACACTACGCAATCCTGTGCAGCAGTTTAAAAGAATAAGACCCATGTTCTGAGGTTAAATCATCACCAGCTTATATTGTTTAAGAAAATAACAAATCACATAAGATTTGTGGAGAACAGTAGAAATCTATATATTTCTGTAAGTCCAAGCATGTATATAAATTCTTAGAATAAACTGGGAAAATACAGTCATCACACTGAGGGCTGCGCTGGGAGTGGGGGCCAAGAAGACGGCATGAGAGTCGTTGGCATCATCTAGATTGTTTGAATTTTTATAATTTCATAATATTGTGCAATTGTAATAAAGTAAATATAATCTTGTGTAATTGAAAATAAATTAAAGCTGTGTATAGGGTTATGGAAAATTTTCACTCTTGTGCATCAATTCCCCTTTAACCAACTTTTCTGCTTTTCTCAAATAGCCACAGCCACGTAGGCAGCTCCATTCGGCCACACGGGAGACAAAGACTCTGACACAGAGAGGACAGAAAAGGGGGCTGACACCTAAGCCCTTGAAGGTTTGACCTCTGTGGGTAAATAGCACTGACCACGTTGAAAGACCCTCCCACGAAAAGCAGTGTGTGTCTTGCTTTGCTGAGCGGGGACTTCCCCGGGTTGGGTTGGATTGGGCGCATACTCGGGTATGAACTGGACCGTCCACACTGGCCTTGGGATTAGCATCTTGTCTTTAGTTGTAATTTGATTTTATGTGATTCAATCGGAGGTATTGAAACATAATACTTTCTTGGACAAGAAAAATAAATTTCAAAACATCTCAAGTCCAAGGACCCAGGTTTAAATTGGGTGAGCAAAACTAGGGCCTATGACCTGCAAAGTAGATTTTTTTTTTAACGTTTTAAATGGTATGTAAATATGTGCATAATCTCCTTAATTTTGCCTCTTGCCCACGAGGCGTAAAGAAAAGTTTGCCAGCCCATGATGAAAGTAGTGCCTCCTAAGTCTGATTTTACTCAAGTTGGTCAGTCAGGGTGTCACACCAAAAGAAAAAAGAAAAGAAGACCTCCCCTAGGAACTCAGGTTATTATTATTCTCTCTGAATTTCATTTGTAACCTGTCTAGCCCGATTGGCTCCTTGCCTCAATCTACAGAAGTGCTCGGGTCTCCCCATCCTTAAAGGATAAGCTTCCGTGAGCTGCTGCTCCATTCTCCCTGCACCAACCCCTCGTACTCATCGCCTGATCCTTTAATCCCTTTTTGCTTGACGTTCACTTTTGTCAGTGAGTTTCAACCATGTTCTTAAAGTTATCTTTTTACCCTTAATTCGTGGCTGATTATATCCATTCCGAACATAGCTTTGGATACCCCACTTCTAAGATTCTGCTTCCTTTACTTTTTGACAAAATGTCTACTTCGGCTGACTCTTGGTTTCTTTTCCCATAAGTGGAAATTCTACCATTTATCAAGATTCCACGATTGCAGCTCTTCTATCCTCCACACTAACGTCCTCACTGTGTTTTAGAATAACTTCTAGTCTTTTTTTTTTTTTTTTTTTTTGGCGGTACGCGGGCCTCTCACCGTTGTGGCCTCTCCCGTTGCAGAGCACAGGCTCTGGACGCACAGGCTCAGCGGCCATGGCTCACGGGCCCAGCCGCTCCGCGGCATGTGGGATCTTCCCGGACCGGGGCACGAACCCGTGTCCCTGCATCGGCAGGCGGACTCTCAACCACTGCGCCACCAGGGAAGCCCCCTTGCCTTATTTTGCACTCAGTCATACAACAGAAACCTATCACTGTATAATGTATGTACAGTTCCTTTGCACATTAATACTCCATCTTTTCAACCCAATTGATTTTTCCAAGTAGACAAAGGCTAAGGATACACGTATTGATTGCTGCTAAGCTCATTTTAAATGTATTTTGTAATAAAGGGCATTTTTGAGACTGAAACAACCCTGCACTTGTCCAATGGGCAAGAAGTCTTGGAAATTACTCAGATTGAAACATACCAACATTAAATTTATTTTTAAAATTTTATTTATTTATTTATTTATTTATTGGCTGTGTTGGGTCTTCATTTCTGTGCATGGGCTTTCTCTAGTTGCGGCGAGCAGGGGCCACTCTTCATCGCGGTGCGTGGGCCTCTCACTGTCGCGGCCTCTCTTGTTGCGGAGCACAAGCTCCAGACGTGCAGGCTCAGTAGTTGTGGCTCACGGGCCTAGTTGCTCCGTGGCATGTGGGATCTTCCCAGACCAGGGCTCGAACCCGTGTCTGCTGCACTGGCAGGCAGATTCTCAAACACTGCGCCACCAGGGAAGCCCAGAAATGTACCAACATTAAAAGCTGGCTAGATTCATCTGTACCATTTTTCTAGGTTCCACATATATGTGCTAATATATGGTATTTGTTTTTCTCTTTCTGACTTATTTGTAGCGCAGGAATAGAGATGCAGACGTAGAGAACGGACATGTGGACATGGGAGGGGGAGGTGGAGGGGGATGAATTGGGAGATTGGGATTGACATATATACACTACCGTGTGTAAAACAGATAGCTAGTGGGAAACTGTATAGCGCAGGGAGCTCAGCTCAGTGCCCTGTGATGACCTAGGTGGGTGGGATTGGGGGGTGGTAGTGGGAGGGAGGTCCACGAGGGAGGGGATATATGTATACATATAGCTGATTGACTTCGTTGTAAAGCAGAAACTAACACAACATTGTAAAGCAACTATACTCCAATTAAAAAAAAGTTATACAAAAAAAAACTGGCTAGATATAGAAAGGCATGGATATTGTTTTCTCAGCATTAAAAAATGTAGGCTCCGTTCATCTACTGTCGTGTTCTAAGAAGGCATCATTTGGTGGACATTCATGCTGTCTTGGGGTTAACACACTTCTCACCTCAGTTGACCCTAAGTTTATACAAATGCTTGCCTCATTCCAGCAGATGTTTTGGTCTGAAATTTCCACTGGGCTTCAGCAATCCAGGGCAATCTCCAGAAGAGTAAAAATTTCAAAACAAGTTTATTTCTTCATCTCTGACTAATAATGTAGATGAAGAAGAAGCTGAATCCAAATCCAATACTGTAGTGTTCACCACTGGCCCCTTAGAGGAAGGAGCTTCATGTGATTATGCAAAAGTCAGAAGAGTCCACAGGCATCTGAAGGGAATATCTCTTGAAAGAAATCCTCATGCTTCCTTGGTACCATCCGGAAGAGAGTGCTCTCAGATAGGTGGGTTGGTTTTAAGGCTTTTCTGTAATTTCTCTCAAGACTCATTTTTCTCTTATGTTTTTCTGAAATTGTCCTATGCCCTTAACTTCTAACATTTTTCTGGCCCCTATTTCCTCTTGCATTTTTACTACCTCACTTTATGGGTTTCCCACAGTAATTTCAGCATGCCCTGTGTAAGAGAGAACATCTCCCCCGCCAGCATTTCTGCACGTGTTCTCTGAAGGTGAGGAGGCCAGGCCCTGATGTCCCTGGGCCTGGGGCTAGCCTACCACCGGAGGCCCAGCTATGGTCTCGTTGGGTTTTTTTAAATTAATTAATTAATTAAGTTTTGGCTGAACCACATGGCTTGCAGGATCTCAGTTGCCTGACCAGGGATTGAACCCTGGGCCATAGCAGTGAAAGTCCAGAATCCTAACCACTAGGCCACCAGGGAACTCCCCTAGTCTTATTGTTTTAATCAGTAATTACTTTTTTAATTAATAAAGAGGGTGAAATTAATTAATTAATGAATGTACCTTCATAAAAAATGTAAATTGAAGTTAAGGCAAAGTTTAAATTCTTCTTCATCTGTTTCCAAAAGTTATTTTTCTTTTAAAGTACTCAAAATTATTAATATTAAAAGGCCAGGGACTTCCCTGGTGGTGCAGTGGTTGGGAATCTGCCTGCCAATGCAGGGGACTCGGGTTCAACCCCAGGTCTGGGAAGATCCCTCATGCTGTGGAGCAACTAAGCCTGTGTGCTGCAACTACTAAGCCCTCGCACCACAACTACTGAGCCCACACGCCTAGAGCCTGTGCTCCACAACAAGAGAAGCCACAGCAATGAGAAGCCCGTGCACCACAACGAAGAGTAGCCCCCGCTCACCACAACTAGAGAAAGCCCATGCGCAGCAACGAAGAGCCAACACAGACAAAAATAAAAAACAAATAAATTTTACAGGCCAAATAAAATTCCAACTTATATAAATTTTTTGTTATTTAAATAAAACTTAATTTTGATTTTTGACATTTCAATTAGTTATTAAATACTTTTTATAAAAAAGACCATTCCCAATTCTAGTATTCAGTGTCCATCAGTTAATGTAATGAATTGGCGTCACATGCCATGCATGTTACATGTAGACATACGTACATAAAGTTAAAAGTCATGTGAATTATTAGTATTACAAAATGTTGTCAGCCACCATGTAAAACTGTTGGAAAGCTATGCTAATTCATGGGAACTTCTGGAACTGTCCATTGGAACACAGAGAAGCCAGAAAAGGGAAGCTCTGCTTTGGGAAATGATCATTGGTTATGCAAGGATCTATCCCACTCTTGTTTTCCAAGAGGAAGGATTTGACAAGTTAGTGAATTTGTCTTTTCCCTAAGCAAATCCTCCTCACCTCCAAAGCAGTCTCTCTCTCTGATATTGTCCTCATCAGGATTCAGGCTCCTTTTGTTTCAGGCACTTTGGGCAGAGGAGATGTGGTCCCCCGTGACTTGAAAGGTGTTAGTCATGAGAGTGGATGCTTAGGGCTCAGGCCACCATGTGCCAGCATGAGCACCAGATCCCAGTGAATACAGGGACTGTTGTGTGTTTATGAAATGCAGGGCCTGGGGCAGCAGGTCCCCTTGCCCATGTCTAAGTGCAGTACTAACATTGAGAATATCCGTACAATACTTGCAGAATACATCATTCTGAAATGCTCCGAGACAACTTGCCAAATTCTTGGAACTGTGATGAAATAAGTTAAACTCCTTTATCTAGTTTTAAAATTGCTTCTGTTGCCACATCTTCATATAGGTTGTTAGTTCTAAGATTTGGTTCCTGACACAAGGAAAGCAGAGCTGGATACCACCACAGCCATTCCCAGTGTGTGAACCAGGCATGTGGTATCTGAAGCAAAGCTTCTGCTTCTCAGCCTTGACTGGGAGGTCAAGTTCAAGACCAGAGAGAAAGTGGAGGCTCTGCCCCCTTTTCCCGTCCAGCTTTATCCTAAAAGCAGCTGATAGCCTTTGGGTAGAGGTGCAGGTACTCTGAGGAAAGGAGTCCAATGCTTTTATTCTTTTGTTTTCAGCCACGCTGCGCAGCACGCGGGATCTTAGTTCCCTGACCGGGGATCAAACCCGAGACCCCTGCAGTAGAAGCACGGGGTCCTAACCACTGGACCGCCAGGGAAGCCCCCCACAACGTTTTTATTCTTGACAAGGGAAGGATGAGATGAGACCTGGAGCCAAGAATCGTCAGGTACTGGCTTTAAGATGTGGGGTAAAAGGGAATCAAAATCTTAAGAACAAGCAAGGAGGCAAGCTCAGGAAGCTAGAAGGAGTCAGGAAATGCCCAGTGGTGCTGACTGGGGGTGGGAGGGAAGAAGAAGAACATTCAAAGGGAAAGCCTCCAGCACTCCTGGCCCTGGAGAAGGAAAATGGACTTGGGAGCACGTCCGTGGGATACTCCAGGCACTGAACTGAAGGTTTGCCTGCAGCTGAGCCTGAGTTCATGGGCACTGAGTACATTTAGACCAAAGGAGGGCTCAGTTACTCTTATTAGGGAGGAAAAAAGGAGGAGAAATATGTCAAAATAAGTTTGCGGAATTAAAAGTCAGGTGGGGGGCTTCCCTGGTGGCGCAGTGGTTGGGAGTCCGCCTGCCGATGCAAGGGATGCGGGTTTGTGCCCCGGTCCGGGAAGATCCCACGTGCCGCAGAGCGGCTGGGCCCGTGAGCCGTGGCCGCTGGGCCTGCACATCCAGAGCCTGTGCTCCACAGCGGGAGAGGCCACAGCAGTGAGAGGCCCGTGTAACGCAAAAAAAAAAAAAAAGTCAGGTGGGTTGTGAGGACTTCTGAAATTAGGAGATACACTTTTTTTTCTGGATGAGAGGAACTTTTGAGATAGCCAGGGACAGAAGGGAGAAGCAAGAAACCATGAAAAGTTGTGGAATTACCTAATTTGGGGTAAGAGAGAAAGAATCTTTCCCATCTGCTATGGACTGAATGTTTGTGTTCATATATTGAAATCTTAACCCACAAAGTGGGTTAAAGTATTAGGAGGTGGGGCCTCTAGAAGGTGCTTTGAATGGGATTACTGCCCTTATCAAAGGACCCGGCTGAGACCCCTTGCCCCTCCAGCCACAAGAAGTTACGGTGAGAAGACGGCTGTCAATGAGGAAGCAGGTCCTCACCAGACACCGAATCTGATGCCATCATAATCTTGAACTTCCCAGCCTTCAGAACTGAGAAAGAAATGTTTGTTGTTTATTAGCCACCCAGTTGAGCCTGAACAGACTAAGGCATCACCCCCGCCCCAGCCTCCAGATGCTGAGAAAACGTATCTGCAGGATGGATGGCCAGATAGGAAGCGCTCTTTGGGTAGTGTTTTTCCTTGAGAGAGGAGCCGCTTAGTAAATGTTTCTCCTTTCTTTTACTCACTCTTCATTCAAGTGGGGGCCACAGCTGGGAGTTGCTGGGGACACTAAAACATCATCTGGAAAATCAACCAGATAGGGACGATGGCATTTGCCAACACTCTTCTCAGGGGGTTTGGAGTTTGATAAACCACTTGGATGGAGGAGGCATGAGCCTTGTCTCAGTCACCTCACAGAGCTTGGAACCCCAGAGCCCTGGGGGCCTCAGGGCTGTTTGATTCATCAGCTCAGCAAAGTTATCAGGCTCAGGGTCTTCCCATCTCTATACTCTGCCGTCCTTCCACGGACATCATCCTCAGGCAGGTATAGCCAGGGTGCTGCCACAGCTGCAGGTGTTACCCTTTAACACAATAATGTCCAGGAGAAGAAGAGCTTCTAGGGATGATGGAAGAACAGTCCTCCAGAGATTTCTCTTCTTATCCTCCGGGCCAATTTTGAGTCCCATACTCGTTCCAAAATCATCCCTGGCAAGAAAGTAGTATTACCTTTAGGGCAAAGGAGTACCCGCCCAGGAAAGGTCCACTTCCTTAGGTACATGGATACTGGAGGAGGGTAGTTACCAGAGCAAAATCTAGGTCTGCCAGGCAGGAACAGGGAGTGGATGCTGGCTGGGTGACTCTTATTTCCCGGGGCTGCCGTAACAAAACACCATAAACTGGGTGGCTTAAAACAACAGAAATACATCCTCTCACAGTTCTGGAGGCCAGGAGTCTGGAGTCAAGGTGTCAGCAGGTCCATATCCCCTCTGCAGGCTCTAGGGAAGAACGCTTCCTTGCCTCTTGGAGCTTCTGGTGGTTGCCAGCAATCCTAGGAGCTCCTTGGCTCGTGGCCGCACAACTTCCATCCCTGCCTCCATCATCACGTGGCCGTCCTTGCGCTCTGCGAATGTTCCTCTTCTTTCAAAGACACCAGTCATGTATTTAGGGCACACCCTAATCCCGTATGACCTCGCTTTAACTTGATTACATCTGCAAAGATCTTATTTCCAAGTAAGGTCACATTCATAGGTTCCCGGTGGACATGAATTATGGGAGACACTATTCAACCCAGTACATATGGCATACGCATCCCCCTCTGAGAGAAGACATGTCCTCTTTCAAGGGCTTTGTGAGGATTAATGAGTGGTTCAGAAATAACCATCGAGAGTGGATCTGGGGCTTCCCTGGTGGTGCAGTGGTTGAGAGTCCGCCTGCCAATGCAGGGGACACGGGTTCGTGCCCCGGTCCGGGAGGATCCCACATGCCGCAGAGCGGCTGGGCCTGTGAGCCATGGCCGCTGAGCCCGCGCGTCCGGAGCCTGTGCTCCGCAACGGGAGAGGCCACAACGGTGAGAGGCCCGCGTACCGCAAAAAAAAAAAAAAAGAGTGGATCTGTTCAACTGCAAATGGGGTCTTCAGAGTGGCATGCAGAAACCCAGTAACCAGTGGGCCTCCTCCACCAGTTCTACCTCCAAAATAATTCTTAATGTCTCTAGATCTTTCTACCTCTACTAGTACCTTAGTCCAATCGGAAGCATGATCTCTCTCTGGGAACAGTGTAGTCACCTCCTAATTGGCTTCCAGCTTCTACTTTCCCCAGTAATCTAAGCCATTTTCCATAGCAGCCTGAGACAGTCTTTTAAATGTAAGTTGGGTTATTATCACTCCTCTTCAATGATTTCTCTAGAACTATTCTGTCCAGTATGAGAGCCACTAGCCATATGTGGCTATTGAAATTAAAATTAAATAAAATTAAAAATTCAATTCCTCAGTTGTTTCAGGTGCTCGTTAGTCATGTTTGGCTAGTGGCTACCATATTGGGCCGTGTGGATATAGGGCATTTCAATGATTGCAGAAAGTTCTATAGGTCTCTGTGGCTCTAGAAGATGGAGCAGCTGCTTCCGCAGAAGAACAAGTGGCGTCCAGGGCGCCTGGCCAAGCTCACTTTACTGGTCTCCAAGAACTTGTGGCTTTGAAGCAGTATGGAAACATTAATCTGGGGAGCTATTGCTCTTTTTTTGGCATTTTCTCCTTTCTCTTCTCCCCACTTATGCAGGTTCTATGTTCTGTGCCTCCCACAAGGCTGGTAGCAGCACTTTCCCAAATTTTGTCCCTGTTTTCAATGGACAAAAGGGGTTTGAAGGAAAGGAGAAACCTAAATCCAATGTGGAAAATAAGTCTTGAAGGGAATTGCCCCAAATGAATCTGCCCCAAATTAAAGAGGGATTTCTTCAGATTGGAAGAGGAAAGAGAGACCTTCCATGCCCCACGTGTGGCCTAGACTAGCACGTTGGAAATGTGTGCCAGAGGGAAAGGTATTCAGGACACCAAGAGGCTGGATGTTGGGCAGAGCCCTCTGGCCTCTCAAAAGGTGCTGAACCACAAGCAGGTTCCAGGCGTGGCAGAGGAGCCATCTGGAAGGAAGGGCCCGGGACCAGAAGAGACATCTCTCGTGGAGGCAGGTGGTATGGCAGAGGACGGAGGCACTTTGACCCTGCGTGAGACCCCAGAGCCCAGACAGAGGTCCTGAGAAAGGAGCCCTGAACAAAGCTGGATACCCGTCAATTTGTTGGGATGGGGCTCAGAGCTGACATCACACCGATTGATGGTATAGAGGGTGTAGGATGTGATTTTTCCCTTTTCCAGAACTGGAGCTAGAGTCCAGAGGTGCTCGAGGATCAGGGACCATACATCTCCGTCTCCCCAGACAGTCCTAGGTCATGTCTGCTGTCTCAGAATGATTTTTTTTTTTTTTTTTTTTTTTTGCGGTACACGGGCCTCTCACTGTTGTGGCCTCTCCCGTAGCAGAGCACAGGCTCCGGATGCGCAGGCTCAGCGGCCATGGCTCACGGGCCCAGCCGCTCCGCGGCATGTGGAATCTTCCTGGACTGGGGCATGAACCCACATCCCCTGCATCGGCAGGCGGACTTTCAACCACTGCACCACCAGGGAAGCCCTCAGAATGATTATTAATAGTGCCATCCTTCATTTTCAAAAGAGCCTTCCAATTTGGGCAATAAATTATAAGGTCACCATACCTAAGTATCTCATATTCTGAGTTCAGAAAAACCCCAGGGGTAGGACCAGCCACCTTCCCCCAGGGCCTCAGAGAGGCACCAGTTCAGTAAACCACCTTCAAAATGAGGGGAGGCCACCCACCAGAGTGGAGGAAGGGGTGCTCTACCACCTCAAATCCAAGGTTGAGGATCCTACAAGGAAGGCAGCCTGGCATTTTGTTCCCAGCTGGACACCTTACTTAGCCAGTGGATTGTTGATTTTCTCCATAAAAGCAGGAGAAAAGAGACCCAGGAAACCATGGCACAATGGGGGAACCCCCAAGAGAGGGTCAGGACCACCCTGTCTTGAGTTCTTGGTTCCAAAAAGTTAAGGAAGATGGATCCTGCTTGTGCCCACAGGCCGGAGAGCTGGCACAGGAGGTAGATGAGATTGTGTTATACCATCTTTCTCTAGACTCTTTTCCCTTGAGGACAAAGAGGTGTGCACGGAGGAGGAATGCAAAGAGGCAGCAGTAAAATGCAGCCACTCTTGCAAGAGACCCCCAGGGCCCAGGAGGCAAGTCCCCTTGACAGCCAGCCGTCATTCATAACATGCACATAGAGAAGGAACACAAGGGCAAGGAGGGGAGAGACAGCACCTGCCCCGGCCTCCCCCTCCTTCATCCCCAACCCATAACCACCCCCAGCGCCAGAGGGAGAAGGGCAAAAGTCAAGAGGGACCCTGCGCTCTCCCTCGCACACGCGCGCGCGCACACACACACACACACACACGCCACAAACTGTTAGAGACACGAGACAGGCAGGGCCATTGCTGAGATTCGGGACACACGAG